TTCTATCAAAGATCCTGCTTTATCAGTCTGGTATACTGGTCCAACTTTAATCAAACAGATAGGTAAGATAAGGTATTACAGGTGAAACACCAAGTTGACTCCAGGAAACACTGGCATAGGCATCAGAATTGTTCTTACCTTGAGGAGGATTTGAAACCACGGCACCTAATCACCTAGCAGATGACAATCTAACTCGCTACCGACTGAGCTATTACACTGTCCTAACAGACAACAATCTAACTCTCTACCGACTGAGCTATTCCACTGTCCTAGCAGACAACAATCTAACTCACTACTGACTGAGCTATTCCACTGTCCTAGCAGACAACAATCTAACTCGCTACCGACTGAGCTATTCCACTGTCCTAGCAGACAACAATCTAACTCACTACCGACTGAGCTATTCCACTGTCCTAGCAGACAACAATCTAACTCGCTACCGACTGAGCTATTCCACTGTCCTAGCAGACAACAATCTAACTCACTACTGACTGAGCTATTACACTGTCCTAGCAGACAACAATCTAACTCGCTACCGACTGAGTTATTCCACTGTCCTAGCAGACAACAATCCAACTCTCTACTGACTGAGTTATTCCACTGTCCTAGGAGATGAGAATCCAACTCGCTACTGACTGAGTTATTCCACTGTCCTAGGAGATGAGAATCCAACTCGCTACTGACTGAGTTATTCCACTGTCCTAGGACTGAGCTTATCCACTGTCCTAGGAGATAAGAATCCAACTCGCTACCGACTGAGTTATTCCACTGTCCTAGGAGATGAGAATCCAACTCGCTACTGACTGAGTTATTCCACTGTCCTAGCAGACAACAATCCAACTCTCTACTGACTGAGCTATTCCACTGTCCTAGCAGACAACAATCTAACTCGCTACCGACTGAGCTATTCCACTGTCCTAGCAGACAACAATCTAACTCGCTACCGACTGAGCTATTCCACTGTCCTAGCAGTCAACAATCTAACTCACTACCGACTGAGCTATTCCACTGTCCTAGCAGACAACAATCTAACTCACTACCGACTGAGCTATTCCACTGTCCTAGGAGATGAGAATCCAACTCGCTACTGACTGAGTTATTCCACTGTCCTAGCAGATGACAATCTAACTCGCTACCGACTGAGTTATTCCACTGTCCTAGGACTGAGCTAATCCACTGCCTTTAAAAGACAGCGTTAGAGAGAAGTATTGATGTTTATGAAACTATCAACAGTATTGAATATTCACTGTTTAAAATAGTTTTCAGAATTTATCAAGAAACCAAAACTTGGTGAAAAAAAAAAGTTTTATATTTGGAATAATGATCTTGTTATTTTTCAGATGAGTTTAAATGTTTAGACAGACCAATAGATAAACCATTTAGACTGGTTTGAACTAGTAAATATTGATATGATATTCATTGTCTTTTGCACTATTTACATGCCAAGATATATTCTGCTATCTGTGCCTG